CCCAAAAACTCAGCCATTAAAAACCCGATGGCACACAGTTCTCCTCTCACACACCTGGGGTCACCATGAGTCAAAATTAACTTGATAGTCATTGGCTTTACTGGGTAAAATAGGGATAATTACAGTTATTTCTGATGATTGTTGTAAGGAGTAAAAGAAGAAACACATAAAATGCCCAGCACAAAGCCTGGTCCAGAGTTGGGGATCAATAGATAATAGTATGTTTCTTAGGGACATTGGAAGACTTCTAGGATTTCTAACTGGCACCTATGTGTGGCCAGCTCTAGAGTTCCAACCAGCCCCTCTTCCTTACCTCAGCCCCTCCTCCCCACCCCCCGGGGCTCAGCCTGCTTTTCTTCTAAAAAATGTCCACTCTCTCTCCAGTAGTTTCTCTCCCCCAGGACTGACTATAGAGCAGTTTGCAGGTTCTTAGACTCCCTCTTCCTTCCTGAAGCCAAGTGCTCAGGTCTTTTTTTGCTGCTAGTAGCATACCTCTAGCTCAGGAAAGATAAATACCAAGAGGCCTAAGGATATGTGGATCCTAGACCATGTTCTGACATTAATTAGCGTGTGACATTTGCACCACTGTTCTCTCAAGCGTAAAATGAGGGTGTCGGACCAGAGAAATCTCTATTAAATATTTTATGTAAAGGAAATTTCAGTGAAAGTATTTTCACTGCAGAGTCAAGCAATACACCCAGTCTCAAAAAAAAAACACAAAGTGTTTTAAGTATTTTTCCATCCACCAGATGAACCAGCACTGGCCTTGTCTATATGTTGCAGAAAAATTTCCATTACTTTTAACTATTTCTTCTTGCTCCACTTCTCAGCAGGGATTACATGCCTGAGGCATACATCAGAATTTTGTCCTGAACATAGATCCCAGGAAAAGTTGAAGTAAAGAGGACACAGAAGAAAGAAATAGCACAGATGACATTTCTTTTAGGCTCAATGCCTAGATCGCACTTGGCTCACTGCCGCCTTCTCATTAGTCCCACTGACTGAATCTGATTAGCCCACCCTGATTTATTTTTGGCAGCCCAGGAGCACATGGGCCAATGCGTATTTTTATGGCTGAGACGAGCATCCCCAAAGCTGTCCTTAGCATTTGGAAGATTAGTCCCTTTCCCTGGTAGATTTCACTGTCTATGAAGCATCATGACACATTAGACATGTATTTATTGAACACTTTACAGAACTAAGTCTATTTATTCCTCTTTTCATTATCAGAAAAATCTTCAGCTCCCAACTGCTAAAATATACAGCAAAAAAATGTTTAAACGTTCCTAACTTGGTATCTGTAAATTATTTTTCCTGAGTTAGTGAATTAGCTTCTACAATCCATAAGAAATAAAAGTAGGATTTCAGTGTTGTTGGATTTGTCCTCCTGATGCTTTGATTTGTCTGAATTCTGGATTTTCCTATTATGCACTACATGCTACTTTTTATGTAAACGAGGCAAATAGTCTCAAAAATGTGACTTTTAGATGTTGTTAGCGCCTTCGAGTTGGTTCCGACTTACAGCGACGCTATGTACAACAGAACAAAACACTGCCCAGTCCTGCACCATCCTCACAATCGTTGCTATGTCTGAGTTCATTGTTGCAGCCACTGTGTCAGTCCACCTCCTTGAGGGTCTTCCTCTCTTTCGCTGACCCTCTACTTTACCAAGAATGACGTCCTTCTCCGGGGACTGTTCCTTCCTGATAACATGTCCAAAGTACATGAGACGAAGTCTTGCCATCCTCTCTTCTAAGGAGCATGCTGGTTGCACTTCTTCCAAGACAGATTTGTTCATTCTTCTGGCACTTCATGGTATATTCAATATTCTTCACCAACACTATAATTCAAAGACATCCATGCTTCTTCAGTCTTCCTTATTCATTGTCCAGTTTTCACATGCGTATGAGATGATTGAAAATACCACGGCTTGGGTCACGTTTCCTGGTTTTCCCTTTTTTTGTTCAAACAACTGCCTCTTGGTCTCTGTACAGGCTCCTTGTGAGCACAGTTAAGTGTTCTGGAGTTCCCATTCTTTGCATTATCCATAATTTGTTATGATCCACGCGGTCGAATGAATGCCTTCGCATAGTCAATAAAACACACATAAACATCTTTCTGGTATTCTCTGCTTTCAGTCAGGATCCATCTGACATCGCAGTGATATCCCTGTTTCCACGTCCTCTTCTAAATTCAGCTTGAATTTCTGGAATTTCCCTGTTGATATACTGCTGCAGTGAATAACTCCCATTAACATGAATTTTATTACTCTTTCCTTTCCTCATGCATGATCTTTCCCTTCCAGTGAGGAGATCCCTGCTTTTCCAGAATACTCTTCATAAAGTTTGTCTATAGAGAATTCTAAGGAAAGTAGGACGGATAGAAGTGAAGAAGAGGTAAAATTTGCAGCAAGGGGGTTTAAAGAGAAAGAGATGCTATATTGGGGAGAAACATTAGGAGGTTAAGTATTGCTGGAGACCTGGGTTACACTGAGATATCTCCAAAGGACTCTAGTTATTTTGAACATCCTTTCGGTTACATGGCCGCGTTGTTGTCCAGGACACTGCCTGAGGGAAACTGAAGGACTGAGCACGACACCAAACTTATTATAGCTATATTAACACTACAATTGCAAGAATTCTCTTGATTAAAAAAAAAACCTTGTGATTGAACCCAGAACTACGTTCAGTTCTAAAATTTCCATTTTTTCACAGTGTCTATCTCTCCAGTGAGATTTCCTATATTTTCATTCACTGTGAGTAAACTTAACCCACTGCCGTGGAGTCAATTCTGACTCATAGGGGCTCACTAGGACAGAGTAGAACTGCCACATGGGTTTCCTAGGCCATAATCATTATGGAAACCAACTGTCACATCTTTCTCCCACAGAGGTTGGTGGGTTCGAACTGCCGACCTAATGGTTAGCAGCCAAGCGCTTAACCCCCAGGTTTAGCCTTATGAAGAGCACCACCAGGGTTCCTTATGAATATACAAAAAAAAAAAAAAAACTGTTGCCATCAAGTCGATTCCAACTCATACCGACTCTATAGGACAGAGTAGAACAGCCCCATAGAGTTTCCAAGGAGCAGCTGGTGGATTTGAACTGCCAACGTTTCATTAGCAGCCTGAGCTCTTAACCACTGCGCCACCACGGACTAGGACCCATAAAAATTAGATTTATAAAAAATGAAATAAAAAGAAAAAAATAGTAGTAGTACATGTTAGGTTTATATAGTCTCTTTTAAGGTATGGATGTGTACCATATACTTGATTTGACTGCTAACAATATGTGAGGTATCAAAATCAATAAGTAGATTCATTCTTAAGAGGTTAATGCCCACATATAATTAAGTCAATCAGCAATACTTTCACTCCTTTAACAAACACTTATCAGTTACGTACTGTGTGTCAGGCTCAGTGTTAGTAAAATAAGCCAAGAGTGGAAGACAGACATGTGAATAGTAATAGAGTTTATTTTCTGTACTTGTGTAGGTCAATGGTTAAGAGCCTAAACGAGATGGTCACCTTGGACAAGTGACTTAATCTTTCTGAGCCTCAGTTTCTCATTTATAAAATGAGATTGAAAAGAATAATACCTACCTAATGGGGTTGTTTGGAATAATAAATGATATGATTATGTTTATAAAGTGCCTAACATAGGACCTAGATACTTTTAGGTCCTTAATAAATTTCAGCACTTTTTCTGTACTGCTTTTATAGAAGAGAAATCTGAGGCTCAGAGCAGTAAAATAACTTGCTGAGGATGCCTCAGATCTAGAAGACAAATAAAAACAGAGCAGCAAGTGGTAACAAAGTATGTAAGTCTTATTTGAGACCAGAGTGTAGAAGGACTAACTTGCCTGTGGAGTCTCAGAAAGAATCAAATAGGAAGAAATACTTAGCCAACTACACAAATGACTTTTCAAATATTCCTTAAACTTTTTTTCTGGAGATTTGGAGCACTTTTAAGTCCATCAACTGTCGACTTTTCCGTACATGTCACAGATCTTCAGTCTAGTCCTTTCTTCAGCGTCTTATCTTCCCTGGTGGTTCAGTGGTCAAGTACTCGGCTGCTAACCAAAAGGTCAGGGGTTCGAACCACAAGCCACTCTGTAGGAGAAAGATGTGGCAGTCTGCTTCCATAAAAATTACAGCCTCTGAAACTATATGGGGCAGTTCTACTCTGTCCTATAGTGTCGCTATGAGTCAGAATCGACTCAAGGACAGAGGGTAATCTTTAGTGAGGAGTCCCTGGGTGGTGCAAACAGTTAACCACTTGACTACAAACTGAAAGGTTGGTGGTTTTGGACCCACCCGGAGGCACCCTCAAAAGAAAGCCCTTGAGATCTGCTTCTGAAAGTCATAGCCTTTAAAATCCTATGGAGCACAGTTTTACTCTGCACACATTGGGTTACTGTGAGTCGGAATCAACTCGATAGCAACTGGGAAAAAAATCTTTGATGAGGAGAGTTTTCACAGATTTTCCATCCTGATCATTTTTTCATTTCAGAAATTACAGGTGGGAAGTGAGTAAGCAAATAATTGCCTTGAAACATTCTTCCAGAATTCTCCTGGGACTACCACAGCATTACTGGTACTCCACTTAAAGTAAAATAGAGTACTTCTTCAAACCGTGTAGCTACTCCAGCATAGCTAAAACTAAGAACCTCCCTGGAAGATGAGCATCAAGATGACTTTCATTCATTCATTCATTATTTACCTATTCACATGATATATATTGTATATTTATTGCATGGCATGATCCGTGAACTGGAAGCAGGTTTTCAATGGAGGAAAATCCTCAAGAGTAAAACTCTGAAAAGATCAGTAGTCATAGGAGTGATAATCTCTGTTTTTCCTTGTGTAACTAAAATACATGTAATTCTATTTTACAAAGTAATGCTTATCACGAACATTGATTTTAGAATTATCCCAGCATAATTTTATTGCTCCTAATTTGAATTTGACCTCCATTTCCTTTTTTCTCTTTTCTTAAACAGAATGCTACAACTTTCCATGTCACTGTCCAAGATGACAATAACATCATTGTCTCTTTGGAAGCTTCTGATGTCACAAGTCCATCATCTGTCTATGTTGTGAAGATAACGGGTGAATCCAAAAATTACTTCTTCGAATTTGAGGAATTCAACAGCACTTTGCCTCCTCCTGTTATCTTTAAGGCCAATTATCATGGACTTTATTATATAATCACTCTGGTCGCAGTAAATGGAAATGTGGTGACCAAGCCATCCAGATCAATAACTGTTTTAACAAGTAAGCATCATGTGTGATATTGTCTTCTGCGTTTCTTTCTTTCTTTTTTTTTTTTTTTGGTGAAAATGTACACAGCAAAACCAGCTCCCACTCCACAGTTTCTAGACTTAACGATCAGTAACATTGATTACATTCTTTACATTGTGTCAATATTCTCGTTATTTCTGTTCTAGTTGTTTCACTTCCATTTTTTTAAATTCCCTGCCCCCGCAACCTTCTCATCTATGCTTTAAAATAGCTGTTGAACTTTTGGTCTTATATAGATAATTTTTTTAATGCAATACTCAAGGGTGACAATCTTTACTCTTTGGGCTAACCTCTCAGTTTAAAGGTGACTTTAGGGGATAGTTTCAATTCAAGGTTTGAAGAGCAACTCAGGACCATAGCCTTGGGGACTTCTCCAGTCTCAATAGGTCCAGTAAGTCTGGATACTTTAAGAATTTGAAGTTTTGTTCCACATTTTTCTCCCTTTTTTTCAGGACTCATCTATTGTGTTCCTGGTCAGAACATTCAGTAGTGGTAGCCAGGCACCGTCTAGCTCCTCTGGTCTCAAGGCGGAGGAGGCAGTGGTTCATGTAGACAATTAGTCTTCTAGTCTAGTTCCTTCTCTGTGCTTGGCTTTCCTACTTTGTCTTTTGTTCCAGATGAATAAAGACTAATAATTGTATCTTAGATGGCCATTCATATGTTTTTAAGAGCCCAGATATTACTCAAGATTACTCAAGATACTGGGAGGTAGAACATAAAGTTTAAGAATTATGTTGTGCCAATTGATTGAATTGTCCCATGAGATCATGGTCCTTAAGCCTCCAAACCAAGAGAACAATCCCATGAGGTGATGGGTTATGGCTAATTAGATCAGCATCTGTAGCACTACCCGCTTTTGTTTGGTTGTTGTTATTGTTGCAAAACCATACACAACCTAACATTTTCCCATTCTTCCATTTTCCCTGTGTACAGCCTACTAACATCAATTACATCAGTCATGCTGTGCAAACTTTCCCCACATTTGGTGCCACCTTTCCCATTACTATAAACAAAAAGTGACTATCAACTAGGGAGTACTTCTCCCCCCCTCCCCATCCCTGGTAACCACTAATAAAGTTTAGTTTCTGTAATTTACCTATTCATGTCATTTCATAAAAGTGAGCACATACAATATTTGTCTTTTTGTGATTGACTTCCGTATTTCTTTTTTGAATGTGTTCTTATGGAACTCTAATTGAAAGAAAGTCAGCCCAGAATGGCTGTTGTAACAAGATCCAGAAAAAGATGAATTGGGAGATAACAGATTCAGGCAGCAGATCTAGGTTTATAAATTCCTGTAATACAAACTTACTTAGCAATACCAACTAAAGTCAAGTGATTGTAATGTCCTGCTTTATATTAAGAATACGGCATATTGCCAATGTTTGATAATATTCTACTGTTAACATTTTGCTAAACATGAATCTGATTTAAAACAATAAAAGTAAGCCTCAATGAAGTAGTATACTTTGGGACTGAATGACAATTTTAGAATCATGATTGAGCCATGTAAGTTTCTGCTATATTATTCAATAGTGTGATCATAGCTAGTGTATTGATTTTTAACCAGAACATACATTCTAATATTAAATAATTTTGGTTTGTCTGAGTCCTGATACATTGAAGTTATGCTTATATTTAACCTCATATTTAACTTAGTCAAATTCAATTATATATATTTTTAGCTGATAGAATGAAAGAGATCTCTTTATTTGTTAATAGCAACACCGTGTCTCACTCTCCAAGTAGTCTTAGCTTCCACTGGCCAAGAAAAATGTCAAGGAAAAAAAAAAAATCATTGGCATTTTAACCTTCAAGGGCCCAGGTCCTACAGAGTTAATGATACTGGGAATTTTTAGGGGTTGTTTATATAAGAGTTTCACTTTACACTCTAATATCTAATCTTAAAATAAGATGTGACTCTACTGTATAAGTCAAGGTTTAGAAGAAACACTACTATCTATAGGATGGTAGGTTTTATCACTAGAGCAGTTTAATGGCTCAGAGAAGTTTGTTTTATTTTGTTTTGGTCATTGTTCTTCAGTGCAAATTTTCCAATGGCTGCAATTTTTAAATGCCAGCTATATGTGATCATTCTGGCCACAATTAAGGAAAAGGACATGATGATATTGTCTGTTAGGATAAAAGGAGAGAGAAACAGGAAGAAATAAGGATTCAAAAGCAAACTAGAGGACATGTTTTCAACTTATCTGTCAAAAAATAAATAAAATGTCCCTTGGTAGAGTCCCAGGATCAGTGTTGAGCCTTAAAACTTAGGAATGGCACAGATCCCAAACCTTCAAATTGTATAGACAAAATGAAAACCCTAGCACCTGGCTGACTTTTAAAAAGAACTTATCTGGCAAAATACTGCTTTAAACAAGTTCCAGAAAAAGACGAATTGGGAGTTAATAGGTGCAGGAGGCAGATCTAGATTTATAATTCCTATAATACAAACTTCTTAAAGTCAGAATCTCTGCCTTACTCATCTGCTTAACTTCATAAGCACCTAGCACAGGTCTTACGCTTCATAGGTGCCCAATAAATATTAGTTCAATTAAGTTGATTAAGTAATAGGAGAAAGAGGAGAAAAAAAGACTGAGTGCAAAGCAAAATAGAACGTAGAACTGTGGTGATCATTCCTGACTGTCTTAGTCTGGGTTCTCTAGAAAAGCAAAACCAGTGAAGTATATATGGAGAGAAAGAGAGGGAGAAAAAGAGATTTATCTCAAGGAAATGGCTCACACGGTTGTAAAGGCTGGCATATCCGAAGTCCGTGGGTCAAGCATCAGGCTGCAGGCTTTTCTGACTCATGTAGCTGAACGGCAGGCCACTGGCTCAAGTCCCAAGAACCAGAGTTCAGGTGATAATGAGTTGGATGCAGGATCCAGAATGAGCAAAAGCCAGTGAGATTTGCCAGAACATCCATATATATTGTATGTAGGTCACACCTCAGAGGAAATGCCCCTTACAACTGATTGGCTGATCACATCAGGTGACATCGTGGAGGTGATTATATTATATCACAAAATGGAGGATAACTACATCATTGTATAAGTGCCAAATTACATCATTACTTAACTGCCAGACTACATCCTTACATAACTGCCAAACCACTGAGAATCATGGCCCAGCCAAGTTGACACAACATTAGCCATCACACTGATCCAATATTTTTTAGCACAAATTCAGCCACTGCCAATCAGACAAAGCTCAAAGATTTGGCATTTCAGCTAATGGTTCATGAAGAAATTTCATAAGTAAGTAAATGCTAAAATTTTTCAATATCTTATGATATTTTAGCACTTGCAGTGAGTTCTATTAAAAATATTTTCTAATTTCCTTCGTGATTTCTTCTTTGGTCTGTGGGTTTAGAACTGGATGTCCAAAAATGTGGAGATTTTGCAGATATCTTTTTGTCATTGATTTTTAGTTTAATGCTGTTGTGGTCAAAGAACATACTTTGCATGATTCCAATTCTTTTAAAATTGTTGGGATTTTTTTTATGGCCCAAAATATGCTCTATCTTGGTGAATGTCCCATGAACACTTGAAGAGAATATTTATTCTGATGTTGTTGGTGAACTTTCAATACATGTCAATTAGGTCATGTTGATTGATACTGTTGTTCAGGTCTTCTATATCCTTACTGATTTTCTGTCTACTTCTTCTGTTAGTTACTGACAGAGGATTGTGGAAGTCTCCAACTATAATTGTGGATTTGTCTATTTCTTCTTTCATTTTATGCTTTATGTATTTTGAAACTCTATCGTTACACTGTTAGCTGCAAACACATTTAGAGTTGCTGTGTCTTCTTGATGAACTTACCTCTTATCTACATGCAATGTCGTCTTTATCCCAAGTAATATGCTTTGTGTTGAAGTCTCTTTTGCTTGATATTAATATAGTCATTCTAGCTTTCTTTTGTTAAGTATTTGCATGGTATACTTGCACCATCCTTTTACTTTCAGACTGCCTATTTCTTTATATGTAAATAGGTTTTTCGTAGATAGTATAGTCTTGCTTTCTATCCAATTGATAATTTCTGCCTTTTAATTGGGGTGTTTTGACCAGCACTATCCAATAGAAATATAATTCAAACCAAGTATGTAATATTAAATTTTCTGGTATACACATTAAAATTTTTCATTTTTAAAAGATTAAATGAATTTTAATAATATAAATTATTTATCTTATTATATTCGAAATATTATTATTTCAATATCAATCAATATAAAAATGTAAACCTGCTTCAGTTTTTATTTTTAAACATAAATTAATCAAAAATAAAATTTAAAAATTATTTTCTCTGTGGCACTAGCTTCATTTCAAGTGCTCAATAGCCACATGTGGTTAGTGGCTACCAATTTATACAGTGCAGATTTAGGCCATTTGTATTTAAGTAACTATATAGAGAGTTAAATTTAAATTTACCAGATTGATAGGACATTAGTGGGGGCCGTCAAGTCCATCTTGCCAACAGTTGAGTTGGGTTAGAGGTATTAGTTACCTTCAGTTTGTTACAGATTTAAAATTCTTCCAGGATAGATTGCTGTGAACTTGTGCTTAGTGTGGGGCCAGGGGTGATAGAAGGTTTTTTTCAGTGTTCTAGTTCTGCCCTTAGTGTTCATCAGGCCTTCACTCAGTGCTGTGTTTGTGGTGGGGGCAGGGGAAGTTCTTGGCTCTGGACTAGCCTCAGTGGTAGACAGACCCTGAGTCCTGGATTTTGGGGCATTCTCACCATTGCTGCTCTTCACTATCTACTGACAAATTATACCTTGAATCTGTGAAAGGTCTCAGGAAGGAGAGGGTTTCCCGCCTTTCCCCAGTAGTAGCCCACCTCTGCTTTATATCAATGCAGGATCATGGGCCCAAGAGGGCTCCTGGTCCTTTTCCAGGGACAGACATCTCCCTCAGAAGCATAGATCTTTGTCTGGGAACTGGAAGGAAAACAATTCCTTAATACCTCTGCTA